TATCAAGAGGCAAATCTTCCAAATTAGGTAGACTTGCTTCTAGTAAAAGATAAATCTATAAAGCTAAATTGGCTTTGCTTTTGCTCTATATATGTACCAGAAAATTCTTAAGCGGTACAGACATGCATACATTTCCGTACTATTTAAGAAATGTATTTTCATATTGGCTTTTTCAAATATATGATTTTTTTCTAAGAACTTTTCTTAAGTGCTGTTTTAATGTTTTCACAGCATTTCACATATTTTGCAATTATACCATAGTCCTAATGTGTTTACTCTTGTAAGTATATTTGTTGTGTGTCTATTCATTTAGGAAATTTAATAGAATATCATGCAAACTAATTTTTCCCATTTCTAATTGCTTCTAAGCTGGCTTTTTAGAGCTTATTTAGAAACATAGTCCTGTGATGTAGATGGGAGGTCCTATGTTACATTAGGCCATAATGTGATTTGGGCTTGTTATAAGAACCCAGCCACTGTGCTTTGTAAATACAGATGTAGTGTAAACTAACTAGTTATGACTTATTTAACAAATCATAGTTAAATATATCGTGGTTTTTGTGTGATATATGAATATAATTACCATGTTTCTCATAAAATAAGGCTGGGTCTTATATTTTTTTGGGCCCCGAAAAAACAGCTAGGCCGTCTTTTCGGGGGTGACTTAATTCCCCCCCTTGCATCCTTATCTAGAGTGCCCCACGGGCAGCCTCGCCACCAGCTGCTCCTAATGGGTGATCATGGCGAAGCACAGAGAGCTCCCTACTCCCACCAAACACCTTTGCTGCAGACCCAAGACCTTTGGCACCTGCTACTGTTGCTTTCCCTTCTGCCCATTCCGCCGCCATGTTTGGAGCTTCCGTGTTTGGAGTGCCACTGCCATTTGGAGTGCCGCCACCTTTTGGAGCACCGCCATCATGTTTGGAGCTGCCACTTCTGCATTTGGAGCTGCCACTGTGTTTGGAGTGGCGGCGGCGCTCCAAATGGTGGTGGTGCTCCAAACAGCGGCAGTGCTCCAAACGCAGAAGCGGCAGATCCAAATGCGGCAGTAGCTCCAAATGCAGACATGGCAACTCCAAACAGCGGCAGTGCTCCAAAGGCGGCAGCAGCTCCAAAGGCAGAAGCGGCAGCTCCAAACAGCAGCAGTGCTCCAAAAGTGGAAGCAGCAGCTCCAAACGCAGCAGCAGCTCCAAATGCAGAAGCAGCAGCTCCAAACGGCAGTGGTGCTCCAAACAGCAGTGGTGCTCCAAACGTGGAAGTGGCAGCTCCAAACGCGGCGGCGGCATGGGCAGAAGGGAAATCAATAGCGGCGGGTGCTGAAGGTCTTGGGTCTGCCGCAAAGTTGCTTGGCAGGAGTAGGGAGCTCTCCGTGTTCTGCCATGATTGCCCATTAGGAGCAGCTGGTGGCGAGGAATTGCTGCGCGCGTGGCGCTCCTAACAGCAAGTCCCCCCACCCTTCCCCCCGTTTTGCATGTTTTATAATAGGCCTAAATTTGGGGGGAGGGGCTTAATTTGATTTTATGCCTAGAAAACATGCTGGGTCTTCCTATTGGGGGAGGTCGCATTGTTTATCATAGAAATTAATTCAGAACACCTCTCATGAGGGAATAAGCCTCCTGTGTAACGGTTGCACCTCCATGAAAATTGCAAGTATGTTCCTTTCTATAGAAGTTCCTTATTTATAAAGTTGTTCCAGCTCTGGATTTCTTTTTCTGGCCCCTCCTGAACTGCATACAATGAAGCTTTCACAGTGGCTGATGGCACACAGCTGCATTTGTAGCAAAACTTCATAAACACCCCAAAGTATAAAAATATGATCCAACTCCAGCTCCACCAGAGGTTCTGGCCAATGAGGAGGTGAGGCGGTTCCTGCCGGCACAGGGAGGAAGTGTGGTCTAACAGGTGGGCACAGGGCCATCATAGACACTATCCTTCTGGCAAAACTGCCTCTTTTTAACACATTTCATCTGTTTCCCTGTTGTTTCTTTTCCAAATATGCTTACTGGGGTATGGAAGAGGGCAGGCATGGACTGTTGTGTGGTGTTTTTTTTCCTGGGACTTTAGCTCTTCTCTCTTTCTTCCTCTTGCAAATACACACATGCATACACATGCATACAATTTCTTAACAAGTCTGCTTCTCCAACCCAAATGCTGCCTCTGAGTGGATGGAACAAAGAACTTGGTGGTGGCAGCAGTTTTATTTATTTATTTTTATTTATTTTATTTTTGTCAAGAGAGTATAAGATAACAGGTATAATATGAATACACGAAATGGATACATATAAGAAAAATAAAAAGAAACAATAGGACAGGGACAGTAGGCATGTTGGTGTGCTTATGCACGCCCCCTACAGACCTCTTAGGAAAGGGGTGAGGTCAATTTTTTTTTTAACCCCCCAAAAAGTTTTGGTACTTAGCCAATTGGATCCAATTCTGGTTTGCAAGAAAAATAATTGGATTACTGCCATTGCCTACCTCTCTAGTTCTCCTTCTCCTGCAGCTTTTTCAAAGGCAACCTAGCCAATGCACGTAGGGAAATACAGTAGCTAATAGAAGAACAGGTTGCTTGAATGAGAATGACTGTGATCTTCTAAGTGTCTAATCTGTATCTTCATATGAGAGATCTCCTTTTCTGTAGCTGTAAAATGAACCTGGGAAAGCAGGATTGATAAAGTTTGCTCTAGACTTCTTTCTCTTCACAAGAATGGCAAAATGAGTCCAGGATTCAGGGCTTTTTATGTTATCTTCCCTATCTTTCAGAACCTTCTTCTGGGTCTTGGTTCTTTGCTGGATGTCAGGGAAATGAGCATTAATTTGGGGAGTTTGGTACTTCTGCTATGTGTTTTGGCAATGATAGTCAAGGAGTTTCCACAGGACTTTCAGATAATGCCACTTTGCTTCCTAGTTGAAAAAAACAAATGCATTCAGCATTAAATTTGTAAAGTCTTCCTCCAGTGCTTTCTTCTACAAGAGAGAGATTGGATAAATTACTGTACATGCTGTGGTGAAGACTGAAAAAGCAATAAAATATCAAGTGATTATCGGCTCTGCTGGACTTTGTACTTGTTTCTGGTTTTATGTTTGAAATAAGTATTCCCTCAGGGACCACTAGTTTGTAATTTGATGCTGGTACAGACTGGATAGTACCAGATTTCAGCTGGCTGGATTTCTCTCCTACCTAACATGGTCTTTTGAAATGAATATCAAATATTGTACGTAGGCAGACTGTCTGGACTGTTACAGGAAAAACATTACCAAAGAAGTATCCTGCTGATTGCATAAAGCTTATGACATATATTCCACCCTTTAGACCCTCTTCAAAGCACCTATATCTCCTAAATCTATCCCATTTTAGGTTCTGACCTCACATTCTTCGTTGTATATTTGTCAGCAGGCCACAGAATGCCTGGTCTGACTCTTTGAGTTGCAGAAGTTGCACAACCCTGATATAAAGGAACATTTATAAATTCAAGCTCCTAATTTATCAGAATCAGTTCTAATTATGCCTCACATTTTGCATAGATAGATCAGGTCTAATTCTTCACTTTGACCTCCCATTTTCTACTTAATTTATGCTCATTATAGCCTGTGAATTGAGGAAGGCTCTGTCTGGCTTTTCTTTTGTAGCAGGTGATGAGGTATGATGGGGTGAAAACAGAGGTAAATTCAGAAAGACTTTGGGTCCTTGTTCTAACTACTTGATTCAAATATACTACATATTTTCTATATTTTCCCAATATCTGTGTTATTCACAGTTGAGTTCAGTGCTTAGTTAAAATGTCAAGTAAGTTTAGGAAAGAATACTGATGCAGCTGTGTAGGTCAGAATGTGCTTTCTCAAAGAAGTATACATTGTCTACATGTTCTCTTTAATCACCATTTACTGACCACTCTTCTGATTTAAAAAAATTATGAATAAAAATACCCTCAAAATTCAATTTTCCTAAGAGGATGACTTGACTCTGTTTAATTTTCCATGCCAATATCTAGTGGACCTCAATCTCTTGTTTATATAGTCTCCAGCTGACTGGAGCAATTACTATAGAAAATGTTAACTAAGAGACAGACATGAATAAAACAGTATGGCAAACTTGCAGGCATTGGTGGGATTCAACTTTTTTTTACTACCAGTTCTGTGGGCATGGCTTAGTGGGCATGGCAAGGGAAGGATACTATAAAATCTCCAGTCAGAGGTAGTATTTGCCAGTTCTCTGAACTACTCAAAATTTCCGCTACCAGTTCTCCAGAACTGGTCAGAACCTACTGAATACCACCTCTGCTTACAGGTGAGGTCTATGAGGAATAAGCATCTCAGTTCTATATATAAAAATGTTAGGATAAATATTAAATAAGATATGAGTTAATTATCTCAGGCAGCAAAAGCAGAAAATGGGACAAAGCCACTTAAATATATATTTTATATATTTAAAAAAACAGCTTGTGAGGAATATGAACCTAATTGGAGAGCTCACCAATGTCTGAGATCCTGGAAGATTAACAGGGTGAAGGCCAGGATGGACAAATGAAAACTAATTGTGAAGTCTTCATTGTATATGAAGATTGTAAAGGGTATCGCACAGATAATCATGTATAGTTGGCTGCTGGCAACAGTTTTGGTTGTGTTTCATATAATAAGTTTCTGATGCTCAGAGATCAATAGTTATTCCACTAAGATAAAGGTAACTAATCTGGGAGAGCTAAGAGGGATAAATAGCATTGATGGATTTTTAATACTCCACTTAGGAGAATATCTGGAAAAGTAAGACAGAGGAAATTTATTCTCTTCAAAGGATTCATTCCTTGGAGGTGAATATTGTGAATAAAAATGTCTCTCAAAATTCCAGTTTGAAATGAAATGTGAGTATTTTAAAATGTGAAAATTTAACTTCAATGTCTAAAATCTTAATTTTAATCTTAATACAGAACATTGATGTGAATTCATCTGCCTCAAAAATGTCAATGGGCTCTTGAGCTTCTTTCTCTTTTCTTCATGTTTATCAGACACGGAAATTGTCCAAAATGGAAAGGCAGCGTTTCAGTGAGGAGGTAGAGATGCTGAAGGGACTCCAACACCCTAACATTGTCCGTTTCTATGACTCATGGAAGTCTTCCATCAAAGGTCAAGTCTGCATTGTGCTGGTGACAGAACTCATGACCTCGGGCACCCTCAAAACGTGAGCACAGAACAGATTGGATGGGAATGGGTGGCTGGGATGACAAGCAGCCTTGGAAGGGGCTATGTTGAGGGTTTTTTTTCAGGGAGGGGCATTTTTTAGCCCATCTCCTGTCTTAAAGGACAGGTCTACAAACCACACTCATTGTGCAGGAAAATAACAATATTTCTACTTCTCTAGAAAACATTTCAAAGATTGCCTGATACTTCTTTACTCTGAAGAAAAAGAAGTGTCTGAACTCAGATCCTCAGATCTTCCTGCATATTTTTCTTTAATTGCTAACCAACAAATCTTTTCCCCAAATGCTGATTGCTTGCAAAGACAGTGCTTGCAATAAATCAGTGTGGGAATAGGATTCAAATGAGGACCACTCTGCTATTGTAGGACAGGGGTCTTCAAACTTGACAGTTTTAAGACTTTTGGACTTAAACTCCCAGAATTCCTCCTCCATTCACGTTAGCTCAGGAATTCTGGGAGTTGAAGTCTACAAGTTTTAAACTTGCCAAGTTTGAAGACCCTTGTTGTAGGACAATGAAAGGAAGTTTTTCTTTTAAAGATAATTGGTGATTTTTGTCAGACTACAAACAAGTTTGAATCTGCAATTCATATAGTTTCCAATATTCAGTTCTGGAGGTATATTTAAACCAAAGATTGGTGCATTGTATTTCAGATGATTGTCATCTTTTACCAAGAGCGCAACTTTGGGAGGGATGCATATGGAGCAGTAGGAGAGGAAGGAGACAGCCAGCTAGCCAGCTAGATTGGTTGAATCATCTCTGGTCATCAGTGGGATGATAGATGTTGTGGCCAGAGTGCCCTCACATTCATTCTCATTGGGTTGTGTTTCTTTTTAAGGCACTTTCATGAACTATATGGCATTCATTCATTCATTTATTCTGCTCATCTCATCAGTGACTGGAAAGTTACACAATTAAAAGCATTAAAATCATAAAAGAGAAATATTTCTAAAACAATTAAATTGGAAATTTTATCTTGCTTTATTTTTATTATTTCATAGAACTTCACAAAATTCAAAGATAAAGAAACTTCATGTTATTCCCCTTTTTTTAAATTTTCTATTAAACATCAGCCATCAGCATATGATTAGATCACTGAGTAGGCTAGACATCATGGGGTTGTTTGGGAACACTGTTTTTGGGGCTCTTGACTCATCAATACCTTTGGCATTTTAAAAACATTTAGGTTCTGCCTATTGTGGCCCACAGTCAGCAATGATGATGAGATGGCTCTGAACCAAATCTCTCTCTCTCTCTCTTTTTTTTTTTGTAGATATTTGAAACGATTCAAGGAGATGAAGATGAAAGTTCTGCAGAGATGGAGCAGACAGATTCTTCGAGGACTCCATTTTCTACACACACGATCCCCTCCAATCATCCATCGGGACCTGAAATGTGATAATGTCTTTATCACAGGCCCTACTGGCTCAGTCAAAATTGGAGATCTTGGTTTGGCCACACTTAAACGTGCTTCATTTGCCAAGAGTGTCATAGGTATTGATGGGTAAAGAATGCATAGCAGAATATATTGATTTATTTGGATTACCTCTCTAAGACATTCGGATCTATTTGCTTCCAAAATCTGGAAATAAACATGATTTGCCCAGATAGTAGTATTAAAAGACAGAACTTTGCTGGGAGCTTATGCATGCTGAGAGCTTATGGACTTATGCATTCTGTTCTGTTCTATTCTATTCTATTCTATTCCTTATTCTATTATTCTATTCTATTCTATTATTTCTATGAAAGAGGCAATCTTTTAAGCAAAACCTCAAGGGACAGAATTGTTACTTTAAGTATTTCTTGATTCTCAGAAGGCTGCTTTGATAATGTGTTACTGTTCACATTGAGCTAAATGCATCATTTATAGCCTTTATATAGGTAGTCTTTGACTTACAATGGTTCATTTAATGACCATTCAAAGTTACAAGGAACACTGAAAAAAGAGACATATGAGCATTTTCCACTGCAGCATCCCCTTGGTCACATGTCTCTTGGCAACTGACTCATATTTATGAAAGTTACAGTGTCCTGATGAGCAAAATCAATGGGGAACGTGTTATTAGGTTAACAACTGCAGTGGTTCACTTAACAAACGTCACAAGAAAGCTTATAAAATGGGACAAAATTCACTTAACAAGTGTCTCACTTAGCAGCAGAAATGTTGGGTTCAATTGTGACCATAAGTCTAGGACTACCTGTATATCTCACAGTTAAATGTGAATGGGTTTTGCCCAGGGTTTCCTTAAAAACTGTGTAGATCTAAGGCACTATTGTCTGAGAAGTTAAGTGGAGATGGGAAAACAAGGTTTAAAGATTTTTGAAGTTTCAGAAGTTCTGTACACTGCCATGGGTGTCACTTAATGGTTGAGTCTCAAGTAAATCCTTTTCTTCCTTTTCCAGGAACCCCTGAATTCATGGCTCCAGAGATGTATGAAGAAAAATATGATGAAGCAGTGGATGTTTATGCCTTTGGCATGTGCATGCTTGAAATGGCAACCTCAGAGTACCCTTATTCAGAATGCCAGAATGCAGCTCAGATCTATCGTAAGGTTACCTCGGTAAGAGTACAACCTCCACCTTCTCTCATTTCTCTGCATTCCTGGCAGTGTCCTTGTGCATTGGAAAGGGGGAAAGGAACTTTCCTGTAATTGCTTTCTAATTTTTGAGTTTTTAAGTGCAATTTTGGATTTAGAACAAAATTCTATTAATTACGACCGGTGAAGAGCAGCTATGACAATAAAATTGGATTGAACTTCAGAAGAATGCAACCCTCTATTCCTAGTTTCTGGCTAAATGCTTTTCTTATAACATCATAAAACTTCAAAAGTGTATCTGGCTGGGTACAGGACAATCATTTTCAAAATGCATTTGGCAAGCTTCCAGTGTGAGTTGAGGTGGGGAGGGAATTTCATTCTAATTCTATTTAGGTTTAATTTGAGAATTCAGTTGGTAAAAAAGGAATGATAAATGTGAATCCAGCCTATTTGGAAACACTTTTATTTTAGATAGAAGTCTTGTTCCATTAGTCAGAATCAGAGTTAACTGAGTCTATTTTATTGTATCCCATTTTGGAATCATCTTTACTGAAATAAAAAATTGGTGAAAACTGAAATAGGCTCCAGGCATCCAAATCAATGTAGTGTTTTAGCCCAGTAAATAGCAGCTTTAACAGAAAGGGGCTAAGCAACTGCCTTTTTTCTTCACACCAGGAAAGACAAGCAAAATTTGTTGTCATAAGAGACAAAGAGATTGAATATTATATTGTATATAATATAATACAATATACAACTTACATTGTTTCCCTTCTACCACGACCCCTTTTGATCCTCTCTTATTTCTTAAAACAGGGTATGAAACCAAACAGTTTTTACAAGGTGAAGGTGCCTGAACTAAAGGAGATAATTGAGGGTTGTATCCGAATGAACAAAAATGAAAGGTAGAGAACAGCATAGCTGCTCACATGATTATGATAAATCAGTGAATATTGGTAATTTGTTGTCGTTTGTGCACACAAGTCTGCCTGTGGGTATAAAAGTGCATGTTGCACCCCATTTAAAAATTTCACAATATCTGGTAAACACAAAAAGTAATCTGAGTAGGTATAGGTCGAAATTATGAGTAGACCTAGGTAAGGAATGGGTAGAAAGAATTCACTACTTATTTGCACCCCTTTAAAATACAGTAATCCTCAAATTAGAACCTTTCATTTAGTGACCATTCAAAGTTACAACAGCACTGAAAAAAGTGACTTATGACCAATTTTCACACTTAGAATTATTGCAACATTCCCATGGTCACATGATCAAAATTTGAGCACTTGGCAACTGATATGTATTTATGGTGTTGCATTGTCCCAGGGTCAAATGACCCCCTTTTGCAACCTTCTGACAAACAAAGTCAATGGGGAAGCCAGGTTCACTTAACAATCATGTTATTAACTTAACAATGGCAGTGATTCACTTAACATCCGTGGCAAGGAAGATCGTAAAATGGGGCAAAATTCATTTAACAATTGTCTTTCTTAGCAATAGAAATTTTGGGCTTAGTTGTGGTTGTAAGTCAAGAACTACTTGTATTCTTGTTTTAGAAATCACTTAGAATCTTACATAGAACATGACAGCCAAATTGGGAAATATATATATTTTTAATTCTCCAAAGTAGACAACTCAGTGCAAAGATTCAAAATATCACATGGTTCAAATGCATTGTAATTTGAGATATGCCTATTATCAGGGTAGACATAAAATACTGAATCACCAGTTAAGATACTCTCAGCCTAAATCTCAAATTTCCTGGGAATTCAAGACCCTCAGATTCTTAATGCTACTTCAGAGACTGTCACTACTAACTGAAGAAAACAACTGCGTCATGGAGACAATGGGTTGGAGGATGGGTTGGTCTGACAGCAAAACCCAAATTCTGCTTTCTTGAGCCCCAAACAACAGTTTCAGACACTCACAACTGGCTGAATATTGAGGAGGCTATCTAACAAAAAAGAAGCTGTATGGGTCATAGCCACCACTCATTTCCATCCCTCAAGTTAAATCTAATACTGAACTTTATCCTCTAAACTTTATAATTCTGCTGTTTTTCCATGCTGCTTATATCTGGGAGGATTTTAAGAAGTAAGTTTATATAGTTAAGAGCATGGAACAGATTGGTGTTCGTGTACTTATGAAGAACCTAGCCTGGATACCTCTTTAAGTCATATTGTAATAACAATCTGTGAATTCAAACGTACTTTCTGTTATCTTCATTTTGCAGAATAGTTTAAATTCAACTTGCTTCCCTATCTTCCCTGCAGATATACCATCCAGGATCTTCTAGATCATTCCTTCTTCCATGAAGATACAGGGGTCCACGTCGAGCTGGCTGAAGAGGATGACAATGTGAAGACCACGTTGAAACTTTGGCTACGGATGGATGACACTAAAAAACTGCACGGGAAGTACAAGGACAACAACGCCTTGGAGTTTTACTTTGAGCTATATAAGGATGTGGCTGAAGAAGTTGCCCAAGAAATGGTATACTTTGCTGTCATTAATTTCTCTACTATTTCTCCAAATCTTTCCAGGTTAGAATGTTTTATAAATAAGGGACTTCAAGTAGAGGCACCTCTGTTTTTTATTTTTTAACTGCATTTTGTACTAGCATGTCCTAAGAGTGGTATATCTTCTGAGAGAAGTTGCTATCCATTAACTCTTAGGATGTTAGTATCTTATCCTAAAATAGGAATAATCATTATTTATTCAAAAATGCATTTTAAAATCACAGAAGTTTCACATTATCTTTTTCTGTCACATTGTACTCTGTGTCATGAGAATTATCACAGCTGAGATTTACTTTTTATCTGTTCCCTTACAATGTCATGTTGGATGCAAATTTTTCTGCAAATGTCCATATAAGCCTACCTTGCTGTTTGCTAGTAGCTCAGGAATTGTTCACACAGTTTCAGACACTCACCAAAGATTTGTGTGTGTAAATATATCTAATCACAAACCTTCCTCACACTCACATCCAAAACTTACCTTAACTTGTAGATTACACATCTACAATAGAGCCTGCTCTGAGGAATGTACTGCAAATAGCAGATAAGGTGTTTGGTCTTGTCCGACTGTTCTTCTGTTTTCTGTCTTCCTGCTCTGCTCTCCTTCCTACTCCATCTCACTGACCCATAATGCAGGTGGTTCTAGGCTTTGTATGTGAGGCAGACTACAAGCCAGTGGCAAAAGCAGTGCGAGAGCGAGTTCTTGCTATCAAGCGCCAGCGTGAGAAGACCAAACAAGCTCAGGAACAGCAGAAGCGTCAGGAGCAATCTTTAGCAATGACTCCTGATATCCTGCATTTGCTGGACCTGGACTCCCCCTCGCCTCTCAGTCCTGTCCAGACCACGACCCGCACCACACCTGGGTCTACCGATTCTGCCCTTGGATCAACTTTTCCTCCAGAGCCAGAAGAGCCAGAGGTTGACCAGCACCAGCCATTCCAGTATCATCCTAACTATTCTTCCACCACATGTAAGCACATCCATTAGTTTTGTTATCTCTATCTTCAACCAATGACTGACTATATAACCAATGCCCTCCAGCATAATGGACCAGAGTTTCTATAATGCCCAGATGGAGAGGCATTTGAAATTTGACTCAGCTGTGCAAGCATCCTGAAAACCTCCAGCTTGCATCTTTTAAATATTGTTGTCAGTTTTTGCTGAGATTTTTTGCTCAATGTTTGTTCTGGAGGGATCTGACATTTACTTTGAAGCTGGGCAAAATTAGCAGTCATCTGGGAAGCTTATGAGGCCATCAGATTAAGGGTACTCAAATCTTAATTTACATCTTCCTTTTTTCCTTCACAGCTGATTGTGAAACTGATGGATACTTAAGTTCCTCTGGATTTGTGGACTTGCCTGACAAGAGTCATTCTAAATCAATAACTGTTTCGGAACATTCCTTTGCTTCGGTGAGTCGAAATTCTTCCCCTGGCATGCACAGGTGCATTGGGTGAGGCTGGTACATATGGCTTAGACATGGAGAGAAGGTGAGCTGGCTTGGCATTGCAATTTCCCTTTCCCTCTTTATACCCACAGACCATTGCTGTGAGCTTGGATCCTGTCTCCATCAGTGACATCTCTTCCCCTGTTGACAGGTAGGAGCGTTTCAGAGGTTAACTGCTTTGGGCTATGAATCAGGATATAGAATGAACAAAATCTTGCTGTTTGCTCTCTTCTAAATCCTAAAATACACTGTACAGAAATAAATAAATTCCCTAGAATAAAGATAATCTCTATAGGGATTACTCAGGAACATCCTGAGTAACATTGGCCCTACTTTGACAGTCTTTTGCAAGGCCATGAAGACCTGGTAGACATGGGGCAGGGGCACCCAGAGAGGGATGGAGCCCTTCAACTGGCTTATTTGATTGACTGGTTGTTGTTGCCAGGAGGAGGTGTTATTACTTTTCATTGTTTTTATATTGTTTTTTTTATCCTTGTAAACTGCCCAGAGTCACTGAGGGTGAGTTGGGCAGGCATATAAATTTTCTTAAATTAATTAAATTCCAATGCACCACAATTCAGCAACTTTGTCTTTGGCATCTAGAGATGCCAAATATGTATTGGGCTGTGTGGACCGCCGTCTGATAACCATTACTGAGCCCAAGCTAACTGACAATAGAACTCTGATGTAGCCTGTCTGAACTGAAGTTTATCAGTTATTGATTTTATTTTCCTTATCCAAACAATCAGTGCTGTCTGAAACAAAAAGAAAAGCAAAAAAAGTCCTTCAGTTCACCAGGGTGCTTTTTGGGCAAGGGCATTGATCTAAATCCAGAATACACAACAAACAGGAAAGTTATTCTCAAGACTTTTCCCAAACTGTTACTTGAGTGAAAGAGAGAGGACCAAGGAACATGAATGATAGGTAGATTCTCCTAAGAGGAAAAGTGCTCACATTCACAGAACAACTTCATTGGAATTTCATTTTGTCCAAAATAAAGTTTGATAAAGACAATTGTTAAGGGTAGCAAAGAATTGCAAGTGTAGATTGAATATGTATAGCAGAAGAGATGTGGTGAAATTGGTAGGATTGGTAGGATTGCATTTGAATCTTGTGGTAATATCCCAGACTTCTTTTTCCCCCTCACTCCATGCAGTCAGCTTGAAAAGGATGAAATAGATAAGATACATATTCTTTCTGAGCAGGAATTAAGGCCATTTCTTGAAAGCTTCAACTTTGCCTGAAACAAGGAACTTAGAAAGGAAAAGAAATGAGGTGGATTTTATGATATATGGAAACTGATCACATTTCTAATTTCTTTCCTCCTCAATCATCTGGGAATAGTTACACATCTGATGTGGCATCTGGCTTGAGTGATGGCTACGAGGGTCTCTCTGCAAGTGAAGACAAATCAAAGCCCCAAGCCAAGCGAAGCTCTGGAAGGCTGGTTCGCCGTTGTGCTCGATCTCGTCTGCGCATTACTAATGTGAGTGCTATCACTTGCAACAGCCTTAGGTTTAATAATAATAATAGTAATTAACAGACAATGATGGAAAAAAGAATTTATGAAGATCCATCTGCACTAAGATTGTGAGATGGCATTAAAAGTGGAAAAAGTACAAAGTAGGCCTGGAAAATTATAATCATAAACAAAGCAACTCCAGAAAGGTTGATCAGAAGTTGCCTTTTTTACACATTTGTCAGAAAAAATGAATAAAATGACTAATTGAAACTTTGATAAAACAATACATAGCAATAGTTCTACAAATTAGTTGTAGATTGATTCTGTGTTAAAGAATCCACTTGGTTATCCCTCATGCACAGAAAGTCCAATATTCTGTAATTTATGGGATAATCCATAGCGGTTAAAATCAACTCAATGAAGAAAATAGATCTATAACTAGAATATATTTGCCAGGATTAAGAAAAACTGTAATTATTCAAACTGGGGGATGGTATTTTGTTTAAACAGGCCTCAAAATATAATTGCCCTAAGATATAAAAGCCATAGTATATATTATATGTATGTCACACGTACTTCACACATATAAACCTTTATACAGACACAAAAAAACATTCATAGGTAATCCATTCATCTGGCAACAGTCAGAGCCAGGAGCCTTCCCCAGCTTCTTAAATGTTATTGTAGTCATAATGTCCTGAAGTGAGACAAGTACAGTGTGGTTCATAACCAAGCCCCAAGTACAGGTAGCCCTCAACTTGCTAGTGACCACTCGAAGTTACAAAGGCACTAAAAACAATTTTTCACACTTACAACCTTTGCAACATCCCCATGGACATGTGATTTACATTTGGAAGCTTGGTAACTTGTTCATATTTATGACGGTTTAAGTGTCCCAGGATTATATGATCCCCTTTTGCAACCTTTTGACAAGCAAAAGTCAACGGGGAAGCCAGATCCACTTAACAACCGTGCTACTAACTTAACAATTGCAGTGATTCGCTTAACAAATATGGCAAGAAAAGTTGTAAAATGGGGCAAATCTCATTTAACAAATTTCTCACTTAGCAACAGAAATTTTGGGCTCAATGGTGGTAGTAAGTCGAGGACTACCTACATAACTGTGATAGTCTTGCGTGCTAGAACAAAAGCTTTCTCATTATTTGTTCATGAGAAATCTATTTAGTGCCTATATGTCATATTGACTCCTGGCAACTGCCTGCACTAGTTCCTGAAATTTCTCTTGCCAAGATTTCAAAAGCTGTTTGCCCCCACCTGCTTCCTAGGGCTGAGAGAGAGTGACCATCCCAAGGTCACCCAGTTGGCTTTGGGCCTAAGGCAGGGATACAACTCACCATCTCCTGGGTTCTACCTTAGTGCTTGAAACATTACTCCAAGCTGGCTCTTTGTGAGAAATTGGAACCATGCAATTTGGCATAAAATTTTATTATGTCTATCAGATTGAGAACCAGGGTACATTTTCTTAAATCACAACGAGGACACAGTATTAAGTTGCATAAATTGTTTGTGACCTTTTCTCCACTACTATGTTGAATTGCTCCCGAGCAATTATAGAGCCAGATAATTAACCATTGTGACATTTGTGTCTTCTTGCTGATTCTTGCAATTCTCCCCAAGGCAATGAGTGGTAAAGCATCATGGATTTAATACATTTTGAAGTTTCTCATGAATGGCATCTGAATAACACTGATATCACTAAGGATGACTTAAGACCATCTCGGTCACTCATTGCCTGAGGATACAAAGATGAAAAAATGAGAGCATGGTAGAAAAAGGAGGTTTCATTTAGGTTCGAATAGGAAAGATCCAAAATGATTTAGCAGCCTTATCTTCCTTTTACCAATATCCTCATCAAGTACAGTGTAATAAAAATTAGATTTCAGAAATGAATAGATAAGCAGATACGTTGCATTCCTTGTGCTATATGTTTACACATAGACTTCGGTAGACATTTGCCTGATTTCTTGGTTACATGACTATATCTCTTTCAAGTGTGAGAGAAAAATATAATTTGATCAAATGATATTTACAATTGGGCAGCAAGGAAATTAAATACTGATTAAGGTCAGATATAAAGCTATACTTAATATTTATTGTTCCATCTAATCAGTGATGGGATTCAAATTTTGTTATTACTGGTTCTATGGGCGTGGTGTGGCTTGGTGGGCATGGCAGGGAAAGGATACTGTAAAATCCTCATTCTCTCCCCAATCCAGGGGAAGGCTATTGCAAAATCCCCATTCCCTCCCCATCCACTAACCTGCTTTCCAGCTCTGTTCTCCTGTGCGGGGCAACAAAAGAAGACCCAGCCAATCAGCTGGGACTCAGGAGGCAGGGAATAGATGGGGGTGGGGCCAGTCAGAGGTGGTATTTGCCAGTTCTCCGAACAACTCAAAATTTCCTGTACCAGTTCTCCAGAACTGGTCAGAACCTGCCGAATACCACCTCTGCATTAAATATGGGAATGTATAAAATGTTAAGAACAATTGCCATCATATATTTTTTCTTATTATTCCCTTTTGCCTCTCAACTTCTTTTTCATATAATAGATAAATATTTGTTTAATAAATACTCAAAAGTTTGCATTTAAGGCCAAACTGCCTCAGCTCTATAGACTGATTTTAAAAAAAACAAAAGACAGTAGTTTGGGGAAGTGAGTTGAACTGAAGTGTCGTGCCTATATATCAATAGAGGAAATACTTAATCTATTATGGATTTACATTCCTTGCTGTTCTGGTTAGAATCTCCCTCTCTTTTCCAATACATATACATATAACAGTTATTTTGTAATACAAGGAACGGAAATAAGTAAATAACAGAAAAAACAATTATTTTATTTGAAACGAATATCTAAATATCTCCTTTTAGAATTGCTATTGTAAGATTTGTTCACCTAGTAAACTGCCTTTTATCTATTAAATTTTTATCCTGCCTTTATTACTTTATAAGTAACTCAAGGTGGTGAACATACCTAATATACCTTCCTCTAGTTTTCCTACAACAATAACCTTACAAGGTGGATTGAACTGGGAGAGAGTTAATGCCTGAAAGTCACCTAGCCAGTTAACTTTCCTAAGATGAGACTACAACCCAGGCTCCTGATGTCTAGGCCATTACACAGTTACTAACCATTACACCCTACTAACTCCTACTTTCCTATTTGAATGCCCTCCAAATATTCTCATTATAACTTCAGTTAGATAAATAGCTCTGGATTTTCCCATGTATTAATTCAGCAAATTAGCCTGAGGGATCACTACAGACTGCTTTAAAACTACTCATTTTTGTCTGACCTTCAGATTTTCAGAGAGTGTTGTAGTTGAGCAATGAGAGGCTAGACCAGGGCTTGGGTGCAACAAGACTTTATTGGAACAATAAAGGACTGAACGTGTTAGCCCTGCCTGGAGCAGGCTTCCAGCGATCAGCGGCTGGCCGGACCCTGCAGCTGGCTTTTATAGCCGGCTGTCGAGGGAGGCCAGCCAATGAGGGGCAGCAAACGCCCCCGCAGCATGAACGGACCTGGGTGGGGACTTTGGCAAGTTCCAGGGACATAACAGAGAGCGCTTGGGGAAGGTTACTTTTTGTAAGTAGCATATGGAAACAATTTATTCAGAGAAATTTAGCATTTTTATACAATGGTATTTCCATAATTTAAAAATCTTTTATATATGTGTGTTTAAAATCTTTACCGATCATATAAATATCATAACTGAGTATTCAGAATATTACTGTAGTGTCTTTTCATGGTCTATTTTTGTTTTAAGAAACAAAATTATGTAAATTGGATGGCATGCATTAGGCTTCTGCCAATCTACTTTGTTGTACAATTCTAAAATATCCCAGCACAGAAATACATGTAAATGTATGAAGAAGAAAAAAACCTTTTAAATCATTAACATGCTGGCAGAAATAATTCCTCTCCAAATGACCCATGTTTTAACAAGTAATGGAAGGGAAAGAGAAGGAAAAGGCCTAAATGTCTTTCTATCTTGCAAACTTTGAAGCCCATCAGGAAAGCTGGATTTCCTATTGGGCCACACTAGGGGTTTGTGTGTGTGTATGTCTGTCTCTCTGGGTCTGGGTCTGGGTTTGGGTCTGGGTGTGTTGCTTGCACATGCTAGCAGAAACCCTAACACTAATCCCCCAATTTCTGTAGATGCCAAATCAAAATGATCAAGTAGTTGAGTGTCAACTACAAACATATAATAACAAGATGGTCACCTTCAAATTTGATCTGGATGGAGACAATCCTGAGGAAATCGCAGCTGTCATGGTATGAATGTTGATTTCTTTAATTCATAATATCTATACCAATAGGAACTGGCAGGATGTGATCTCCTTAATTCTTCTTTTGATTGTGCCTCTGGCTTCCCAGGTTGCCAAGGAATTTGTCCTGAAATCTGAACGGGAACAATTCATCCAGGGAATTCATGATATTATCCTGCGTGTAGAAGCACTCCTCCAGAAGGATAAGTTGAACAAACAACAGGGGGCTCTGGGCAAGCCTGATATGCAATGTATATCTCCTACTTCGGCTACCGGCACTCTCCCAGTGAGTTTCAGATCTTTGCTGGTTAAGAATTAGGATAGAAAATATTTATATAGCATCTGGAATTGCTTTACTCATTTTTGTTATTTTCCAAATTAGTAGAAGATGCGTCTCCTCATATTTTTGGTTAGCTGAGCACAGTAACAGATCTTCAGAGATAATCTTTCCTTTGGCTTTTCCTTCACTCATCCTATATCTTAAAATGCTGAGGCCAGTTTCATTAAGGTACTTTGGTACGAGAAGAATTCAGATTTGTCTGAAAACTGGACCCCAAATAAGATTCTTCTTCCATTAATCCCAAATACTTTGTGGCTAAGAAGGAAAATAGATTGACCCCTTCCTTTTTGTGGCAGCCCCTCAAATATTAGAAGACTGCTATTCTGTCTCCCCTGGTCCTTCTCTTTACTAGACTATCCAAGCCCAGTTCCTGTAACCGATCTTCATATGTTTTAGCCTCCAATCCCCTAATCATCCTGGTTGCTCTTCTCTGCACTTTTTCTAGAGTCTCAACATCTTTTTTTATAATGTGGTGAACAAAACTGGATGTAGTACTCTAGGTGTGGTCTTACTAAGGCTTTATAGAGTTGTATTAGTACCTCCCTTGATCTTGATTGTATCCCTCTGTTAATACAACATGGTCAGAGAGGCCTCTTTTCATTATCTATTAAATGATTATTCTTTTTTTTACCTTTTTCCTATTTTCTTTTAGGCCGAGCTGCCACTGCAAGACCTCTCGTGCTCCATCTCCTCATCCTCATCTCTTAGTGGTATGTAATCAACCATTTGCTTAACCCATTTTACTTTTCACTTGCTACTTGAAAAGCTATTTCATTTACTGGGTCTGATCTCTCAAACACTGAAACTTAACAGGCAATCAGAGGGGAAATAGGACTGAAGTCCTTCTCTGAGAATTTAACCCAAAATAATATTACTCCTATTAGTCTTCACTAGGAATGATAAATCTTTCCAAAATTTAATGGCCAGCTTGTAATAGCCATACATTCAGAAAATTACAGTTCCCGCTAGCATTCTATTATTTTCAAACAAGTGTAGGAGTACAGGAGGCAGATTCCTAGGGAATTAACAAAAGAATGATGTTTTTTCATATGCTGTCAATTTTTCTCGATTTTATTGCTGAAACAAAGAATACTTGGAATAAGTAATAGTATTTTTATGTAGAAGTACTATAAATGGCATTCAGTCTGAGTATCCAATATATATTTGTGAATTCAGAATTATTTAATTCTAGGTGCAAACCTTTATATTAGGCTGCAATTGCCAGGTCTCAAGATTTTCATAAAAATTGAAACAGAGTTTATCTGCTTTCTGCTGTTTTAGAATACAAATGTGTGTCAAAAGATGAGAAAAGAGGATATCATGACTGAATGTTATACCTTATCAATTATAATATGTATGTTAGCAAACATGAAAGTTAAAAATGATGAAAATGATGAAAGACTCAGCCTTACAAGATATTCATTAAGGGGTGCTAATCTGTAGTAAAGGATCTAAATATGTATCATAAGAATTCAACTTTTTTCAGATTGTGGTTGCCTTAGTTCAGGACAGCCTGTGTTGTTATCACCTATCCATACTTCAGTGGTGGATGCAATTTCTGAGAATGATCCCTTTAGCCCCAGCATTCCCTCAACAACTACCCAAAATTTTGGGCAACCAGTACTCTCAACTACATCTGCAGGTAAAACTGATTGGTTGTGGTTTACTTCTATTGGTAGTTGTAAAATACTATTTAAGTAGATAGCATTCAGGGAAGGTAACCAGGCTTGCTACCTTGAAGAATTTTTATCCAGCAATGTAAAATGCTGGACACTGACTTGATATCTAAGGTGATAGTGATGATGACAACTATTATTTCCTGCCTTTTATGTTGTATCACCCATGGTGGAGTATATAATATCACCCCTTCCTACTTTCCCAACAACAACCCTGTGAATAGATTAAGCTGAGAAAAAGTTACTGGAGTAAAATAGTGCTGTGATATAAGGTAATTCAACAATAAAGGGATAATCTGGAGGAGTCTAATATCCTATATGAACCATGATTTTTAAAAAAACGGAAAGAGAAAAATTGAATTTGGAAAAATTTGTAAGTAGTTGACTTATTTATGATTTGGGCAGGGGCAAGACTTTGTATAATCCCAAAAATGTGGGGAATATATGACTGAATTATATAACACAATACATTATGTCTCCCACTTTATCTTACACTATTCTCCCATTCCCCTATTTCTTTTTAAAATATTTTAAACATTTTGAAATAAAAGATATTATCCAGAATCATTCAATATATAAGCAGCCATGCCAAATTCATCACATATTTTAGTTTCCCCTGGTGCAAAATATGGGCATTGGTGGAAAAAGCAGGGCAAATGATCTACTTAATGTTAATTAGAAAATAAAGCTGATTGGTGATTGGAAAGAACAAAATGCATTGAGCCCATCTGCTCTGCAAACATGGGGAAGGCTTTCTGCAATGCTACATAATGAGTGAGATGCAACTGATTTCCTTTCCTTTGCTTCTAGGACCAACTGACCTGCCAACTTGCCTTTTTCCTTACAGGCATCACCAGTATACCTGGACAGACCTGGCCAACCTACCATATGTATCCAGGGACTCCTACAACACCCTCTTACCTTGTCCCCGTCCCTCAACCAATTTCTCCACCAAATTCTGTTCTCCCCACATTGCCCCTTACCTCTTCCAATGCCCCATCCATTGGCACTGCTGTGCCTGCACCAGCTATCCCTATGTGGCCTACCTCTACTTCCCCTTTGTTCTCTCTTGCCGATGTTTTCTCTCTGGCTATGATGAGTATGGCCCAGTCACTTCTTCCAGCAGTATCTGCAAGGACTGCCCAGACGGGGCCTCTCTATACCTCACCAGTCCCACAGCCACCAGTTCTGTGTCCACCCAGCCCCACTACTGTACGTTTTATCTACCCTGAGCTGGTGTCTTCCCCAAAACCAGCCCACTTAGCCAATGGGATGTTGGGGCCAGTGGTGTCTCCAAGCTGTAACCCAACTCCAGTCACCTCAATTGCTGGGAATTCTGAGAACAGTCCAGTAAGTCTTTTGAATCAGTATCTTATATGACTATAAATGGGGAAAACAAGAGGCTCTCTTGTAACCACGTGCCTCAGTTCTAAGGTACTGTTGAAATGTATTACCTAATTATGGTGGGTGAACATAAATGGGGACATTGCTACATGGAAGTTAGTTCATTTTAGGAAATAGTGATTGCTTTTATTATATTTAGACATTAAAAGCTAGCAATTTTAACAATCGGCATGGGGATTTATTTTAATTATAATAGAGGAACATTCCTTGGAAGCTTTACCTCAGCTCCATAGGAACTTTAGTTAATTATTGATAGAGAGTTCCTGATTGTAACAGTTTTTCCATATTAGGGTGAGATGAGATGTACATTATTTTAGCGCTGCCTGAATCCCAGGTTAATCCTTTAATTTAATGAATTTTCAATGGATAACACAGCCATCTATTGAAGAAACAAACTGGAGTTCCACTGCATGGTGAATGGACCAAAAAAAAGGAAATTCTCTATTGATTTGTTTCCCTTTCTCCACAGGTAGCTCCTGTTTCTTCCTGGTCTGGATCACAATTAACCATATCAGATCTCTCTATCTCCAATGGTTCTTCTGCTGAACACACAACCCTCAGTGAAGGTAAGAAGGGTTTCAGAAGAATTGGAGAAGGAAATTTGAAGCCCTCTGCAAGTAGCTATGGTGCAAAGCCATGACTGAGAGCAGCATTCATAGTGGATAGCTCAAAATCAGCACAGTGCCAAATGTGGTGATGCATACATTGTTCAAAAGGAGCAAGTTTTGCACCACAATGCTACATTGCAAATTTTGACACCCCACTCCCGATACTATGAGTTAGGCTTAAATTAGCTGTACTGATATAAAACTGTTCCTTTCCTAAGATAGTACCATCCAACAGTTGCAAACTGTGCAAAATCATTTCATACGCTTGACTTCATCCATTTTGTTGATGTGGTTAAAAGACTTTAATGGGTAGTCTGATTGGTAAATATTGGTTATGGCAGGTTATGGCAGATTGTCCCTTCCAGTTCCTGAGAAGTCTTCCTTGGTGCCTTTCTTTTCCACCATCACTTGACTCAATGGCTAGTTTTTGTGTTGCTGCAGGTGGCACAGGCTGCTGCTGTACTCAGCAGACTTGAGGAATGGTGGAAAAGTTCTAAATCTATACTTCTCTGCTTTACTACTCTCCCAGGCATGGCAAAAAGAAAGAGAGAAGGGCTCCTGAGGTAGCCCTTTTGCTTTTGGTTTGATTTTATTTGACACCCAAACTGAGCTCCAAATGTATCCCTCTCATTGAAACTTTGGCTGTCTTGCTTTACAGTGAAGGTTTATTGCTCTTATGGAAGGAGGTATATAAGCACTGTATAAGCCATGGCCTTTAGCCAGCTTTCAAAATGAGCCACAACCAGGGCATCAACTGAATAAAATGGGAGGCAAAAGTACCAGCTGTATTTCCTTTGCTTGGCTCTCTGTTACTTGTTGGACCCATAGATTTCATGGAACTATGGTCTATGACCATAACAAAGTCTTCCCATGGATAACATGTTCCTTTTGATACTTCATGTAAGAAGACATACTGTGAGCCGCTTCACAATATCCTTTGAGCAGTGGCTGGTAATTGTAACATCTAGAGGGGAATTCTAGGAGTATTTATGTTCACACGTTTTAAAATTGCCAACTTCGAAAAATATTGCTCTATAGGAAGATTTGCCCACAGCTCTTCCTGATATTTCATTTTTCTTTACCAGGAGAGCCCAAGCCACAAATCCTGGGCCGTTTCCAGGTGACACCCACACGGAGTATCCCATCAGAATCTCCCCCCAAAGGCGATGGACCTGACATCTCGAGTACTTCCGAATCTGATAGTGACTCTCCTGGCGAAACACCTGTGCAAGAAGGCGAGGAGGGTACCACTCCCGTGGCAGAGGGAGAGGGTGATGGCGAATCTACTCATAGCAACAATGTTTGGATGAATTATATGCACAGCCCTTCCTACCCCAGCAGTGATGATTCAGACAGCACAGAAGATGATGACGTCTGGGATGAACTACAAGCCTTGCGCCAGAAGTGAGTAGTCTTGGTACTACTTGGCAGTAAATAATTTTCCCCCCTGCTCCATTCAGTAATATTGCCTTTCATTTTGTCCTTCTCTCAGGCATCTCTCTGAAGTTGAAAAGCTCCAAGCTCAGCAGAAACAAGAAATAGAAGAGCTTTATGCCCGCCTTGGCAAGGTGCCACCTGCTGGAATTGTATCACCTGCCACCATGCTCTCCAGTCGCCAGCGCCGCCTCTCTAAGGGCAGCTTCAATCCCCTGAGGCGCAGCAGCCTACAGCGCCCAGACGCAACACAGCCTCAAGGTAAATCCTTTCTTACCTCTGTGCTAAGTGCATGCAAGCATGCTGCAGACTTAATTGACTAATCTACAGGAGTTGTAAGGCAAATTTCAGTAAGCCTACTTAAGTGAGAAAGTGCCTTGTGACACTTTGGAAAATGCACTTTGCGGATAAAGGAATATAGAATTTATACAGTATGACCCACCCTGATTCTATGTACACCATCTCAATGTTTTGTGGGAAATTGCTGTTTTGTTAACAATCTCTAGGCATTTCCTGGATATCTGTGAGCTGAAAACATTTAAATAAATGCCTATCTATTTATGGAAATTTATTTCAATTAAATAACAAGACTATAGGCCTGATCTCAATGAAACCACTTTAATATTGACCAAGTAGTATTTTTTTAGGGATAAAGCCTTCACATACAAATTGTACAGCCATTTGCTCACTTACCTTTTTCCAGTTACACAAAATCCCTCAGGTGGAGGAGACTTTAACCACCCCACTCATCCCTTAACAGTAATTAAAATAACTATTTCCTTGTTTCTAATATTAGAAGAAACTAACGGTCTTGATTAAGATTTTGGTAGGATGGGTGGATGGGTGAGATTTTGTTTAAATACCCCTCCCCATCCCAATGCAAATAATATGCATATTGTAATTGTGTATGATATTGTGTAATGCTGTTAGCTTCCCATCTATATTAGTACTATATATTGATTTTCGTTACAGTTGTCTTTGCATTAATGTAATTATTACCTATCCAGGGATCATGAGGAGAAATTCTGTGAGTGGCGGCAACCTTGCTTCCCAGGAACAGCGACAAAGTAAAGGCGTGAAGTTTGCTAGTGATATTGGATGTCTGGTAAGGAATGGACTAGATCAGCAGTTGGCTGGGAATTCTGGGAGTTAAAATCCACACATCTCAAAATTGCCAAGTTTGAGAAGCACTAGAATGTTTCTAGAATGTTTGCTCTGGGCCAGAGGTTAAGTAGCCTCTGTTGAGCAAGCAAGTCTTATGCAACCCAACTTGCCTTTTTCTTGTTTGAAGAAATTAGATCAATCTTTCCTCACCCATGGTATCCAGATGTTTTCATCTACATGGCAAAAGTAGACTACAGCCTTGGGCCCCAAGCCCTAACCCTTTGGGACATGCCACATATGCCACATAATGTTACATATGCAGATAGTGCAAGCTTATAGTCCAACACAGCAGAACCTTATTTTCTTCAGGCTGACTAGTTTAACCTCTCTTCACCACTGCAAAATCCACTTTGTCATTCCTCCCAAATGTAATTTTTCTAGGCATGAATTAGCCAAACCAGAAAAGTTTCCTAAGCTCATTAATTTGCTACAAATTGTTTTGTCTGTTTGAATTCTACAATATATTCCCAGAATACTGCTTTATTTTTTATTACTTTTTCTAATTTGTGATCAATTGCAAAAAGCAGCTTTACTTGGAACAGATGATATCTTACAATGATACTTTTAATACTATCAAACAACATCTGCCTATCGTAGGTCCTTGGAAAGGACTTGATAGGTAGACAAAAATGCCAAATCCAATCTAAACAACTGATTTACTGTGCAGAATCATAATATATAATATAGATCAGGACCCCATAAGAGTCAAGCAACAGAATCTGAATGCAGCACACTAGTTTTCAAAAGTTTCAGAAATAAAAACACAGGTGTAAGTGTGTAAAACCACACATATATTGTGCTAACCATAAATCAAATCTATTAAACCATAGTAATAAGATTCAAATATCACGTGAATCCAGGAATGCACCACTTGTGACACTCCAGAATTAAAACTTCCATTAGTTCAGCCCTAACGAACAATACCGATAGCAAGGGATGTTATGAGTTGAAGTACAGTATCATTTCAATAAAAATGATCAACCCCTAGAAAATGATGCATTTTTATGGCTTAGGACATTTAGTAAGTCCATGTCATCAACTAGCGGTAGACATAAAATGCCTGCTACTTAAAATTCATTGTTTTCACAAATTACTTGTTTTTTTTTTCAGTAACCAAACCATTAGATGATACATCTGTGGATTCTACCTCAACCTGATGCCCACCCTCAAAAGGATGGAATGAAAGGGCCTTCTGCAACATATGCTTTTTGCTCAGTTTATAAGGGCAGTCACTATTATTTAGTATGGCAAATATATTTTGATAAGAGGAGCAGAATTGATGCTCCTGAGAATTGTATATGTACCAAACAATTAAGGATGAAAACACTTTGGTGCTACTGAGTTTCTCTTTATAAGTATGCAAAGGGATGCCAAGCCTCTGCGATTTGGGAGGATTTATCATGGAAATGCCAGGATGTGCATGCTTTTCTATTGCTTCTCTCTTATAAAGGAATGTAACTAAAATAGAAGTAAAGGGTGCCTATGGGATTTTTCATGTTCTGGAGTGCAATCCTTATGCTTCAAGCTTTATTGATCTATGTGCCTTGATAAGAGGAGATCAAGACCTAGAGTAGATCTTAATAGCTCTCCTAATTTCCAAAGCCACAGGAGGCTTCTCTAAATCTTTAAGCAGCTTTTTTATGGGAGATAAGTATGCCTTAGTCTTATAGGAATTAGGTCCTCTCCTCATTAATTCAGCTGCAAGTTTAGCCTTAAAAACAGTGGCAGTCTACTTGATCTCCTCTGCACTTTTGGACATTTTTGCCTTGATTAAGGATCAACTTTTCTTACAAGGGTGTCTGCACTTTGGAGTAACTTTGTACATGAGATTTTGTGCATCTACCATAATACAGTATATAAAGACATGCTTTGAAAGGAAAGCTGATATTGTAGTAAGACAGCACCAACCTGGCCGAAAATAAAAAAAAATGTGAACTTAATGAAAATAAATAAACATACTTCAAATAAAAATAGTCTAGATTCTTTGACCCCTTTTTTCCTGTCTTCCCTGTACAATACTGTTATAATCTGATCTCCCCATTAAGATTGTGTTCAGACCAAGAGCTTTTGGGAAAGCTATTCTTTTTTTCTTTCATAATTTTTTTAGATTGATAAAACAAGTGTTGCAAGTAAGAAATAATGGCATTGACTCCTACCTCCCCACAAGTATTTATGTTAATAAAGCAGGCACTAGCACAATAAAAGCTTTATTAGGAAGCTAGTGCTCTGGAGGGCAGGATCCAGAGGTGTTTTGAAATCCCCTCTTACAGAGCAAGGAATGCTGCATTCTGCATTGAGAGGTGATTCCACCTATTAAGCCCTTTCTTGACTTCCAGTGTTCTGCACACCAGCATTAGTGCTACAATGCTTGTTGGCAAAGAGGAAAAAAGATTGTTATTTGAAGACTTCTAGCCACAGAATCTAGTCTTCCATATCCTTGGTATTATAAACAAATAAATGTGCACAAAAGCAGCAAATTTATGGTAATAGTAAAGTAAGTATAGATCGCAGGTGTCAAACTCGTGACGTCACATTACTGTCACGTGATGTATCGCAACAGTTTTCCCCTTCAGAGTTGGGATTGGCGTGATTTGCATGTGATACAAGTGGCCACCCCTAGTATAGATTAATTCACCTCCATTGTCATCAGTAGAACTTCCAAGGGAATAAAATGGGCCAGTAAAAGAGAAAGAATCATAAAACACATCTCTTCCCAATTCTGACAGAATCTGAAAAAGCATTGTATTCTACTTTTTCTTGCTATTCCCATCTCCAGTAAAATTGTTTTAATAGTAAATCTCTTTGGTGCAAAAGGCACATTCCACAGTAAAAGAAATGTTTTTATAAAAACTATCATAGCTGGGATATACCAAAGAGGAACGCTCTCATGATCAAAACTCCATAACCAGAGGAGAGAATCTAACAGAAACAACAAAGACAAATGGATGAAATTTACAATGGATGAAAGCAACAAGTAGGAACTGTCACACATTTCAACTATTTGAGTCATTTAGTCTCCAAGAATTCTGGTGTACCTGAATTTGGGGGAGGGGACTACTCAGGCCAGGTATGTAATTCTTCTAACTCTGAAAATGGTTTATTCCTCTATTCCACTTTTGAAGAACAAAAGTGATAGAATACTATTGGGCTCAATCCTGCTTCTTTAGGTCATATAAATACACTCTGAGAAGTAGTATTGGAAGGATAAGTTGTAATTACCCTAAGCACTTGATCACTCTAGATCTGAGAATATTCTAGAATCTCTTCTAATAAGGGGGGGAAATCCTGCTGCTGAAATCTGAATTACAAATAAACAACATAGGACACATTTTCTACTAAAGAGAAATGTCCTTTCTTTGAGCTTTAAAGAAATATGCATTTGATAAATGCCTTGTCTGGCTTCTAGTCAGTTGCTAGTTTAATGATTCACTTACTCCAAATATATAAGAAACAATAAGAGCAACAATAGAGTTGTCAAAGTAGCACATCAAAAAGTTTATGGTCTGGAAATGAACTGCCAAAGCCTGCAAGAATTCTGCTTAATAGAAAAATTCAGGGGTAGGGATCTGTACAATAAGAATCTTTGGATTTTTTTTGCCCTTTGAATGTGGTACGGGCTCATCTAAATACTAAATGCCAAGTTTGTTTTTCTACTTTCTGAAGTCATCCTTATATAATTTTTATTAAGATTATTGATTGTAATAGTAAAATCTAACTAAATCTGATTTGATGTCACTTCTTTATATTTATATTTTGTTTTTTCTTCAGAAAAGAGAATAGAGAAAATGAGTAAAAAGTGCAAATGCAAAGAAAAATTAAGAAAAAACAAAATATAAATATAAAAAAGTGACATCAAATCATCACAAGTATAAAATTTAGTAACTCTTCAGCCTCTCTAAAGTTACAAACATTTATCACTTTATGTGATATCCCATCTGTTACCTATTCCATAAAGCATTATCTTTTCAGTCCCAGTTTCAGCAGAAAGTCCATAAAAGATAGCTAGAAGTAACAGCGTATCTTATTTTAACTGTTTCAAATAAGCCCTATCTTTATCGTCCTTCCTTTTACTTCTATCAGGCTTCATCTTTAGTTTGTTCAAATATTGTAGGATTTGATTTCTCTTCATTTCTTCTTTGTCCCATCACACACAATCTTCAAGCTTCATCAAGCCTAGTCCCAACACAAAGCAAAACAAAACAGCCGAAGTTCAATTCTTGTATTTGCCTACACTGTATAGGCAGATTTTTGCCAGACTAAACCTATGCTACCCTAAACTGATGGATATACCTTGGGAGATTCTAGAGACTGGTTATCCTAAATCATTTCCGCTTTTCACAATCCAGCTCTGTGATGGATATTTTGTCTTGCGCCCTTGCTTCAAATGCGTTCCTTCCTTCGAAGGAATCTGCTACTTTTCTGCAATCCATCACTGTACCTCCCCTTTATAGATAGTTCCATCACACCTTTTAAAAATCTAGTATGGAAAAATTATCTAGGTCACTCTCTTGGTTTATCATCTGTATCTCCCTTTTAAATTTCAAACTTTAACCAATTTCTTTTGCAGAATCAGTAAAACCATTCTCTAAATCCGGGGTCCCCAAACCCTTGGGCTGTGGACAAGCACCAGTCTGTGGTGCACCAAAAACTGGGCCATGCAAATGAGCGAAGCCCACCTGTGCATGTGTGGGATGCAGGCAATGTGTGAAACCATGCCCTCTCTGGTCCTTAGAAAAACCTCTTTCCACAGAATCAGTCCCTGGCACCCAAAAGGCGACCACTGTTCTAAATCATTCCGCTGTCAGTTATATATCCAAGTTTGATACCATCTCTTATTTTGTCAAATAACATTTGTTCTATATCCGATATTTGTTCAACAATATCTTTTGAATATCCAGGCAGTCCTTGACTCACAATCCTTTTAATGATGTTTAATGCCTTTTGATGTTAAAATGGCAGTGAAAAAAGTGACAGATTACATTTTTCTCATTTTTTCACACTGTGGCATTCCTATGGTCACATGATCAAAATTCAGACACTTTGCAACTGATTCATATTTGTGATTATTGCAGTGAACCAAGGTCATGTGATCACCTTTTGCAACCTTTTGACAAAGACAGTGGGAAGGCAGATTCATTTAACAACTATGATACTGATTAAATAAGTACATAACAACTGTGGCAAGAAAAGTCCCCAAATGGGGTAAAAACGGCTTAACTGTCTTAGCAAAAATTGGGGGCTCATTTGTGGTTTTAAGTCAAGGACATCTGTAGTCTCTCCATAGAAGCATACTATTTTCTGATTCAATTCTCCAAAATTCTCCTTCAGTGTCATTATTATAACATAAAGCAACTTTCAAGCCTCTATATCTGTTTTCTAGATAAAAATTTTAGTTCCCTATAATGGCCAATTTTTGAAACCATAAAATTATTTATCCATGTCCTATAAAAACCATAACAGAAGCTATTTCCCATGAGAAGCTATTTGTACTTTATAAGTAATTCCAAAATCTCTTTATATCTGGATCCTTAATCCATTTATAACTATCTAGGATCAAAATCCTATTTATTTTTTGCTGTTTATTTCAGATTCTTTGAATTCTTAAGCTTACAATTAAAAAATTATTTTAGGATTAAAGGTAAACTCATCTGTCATATGCAAACTCGCCATTGTGAAGGTCTCTAATAGCTTAGAAATAGTTAATGAGCAATTTCTCAAAGTATGGCTTGCAAACATCATTTCTTTTAAAAAGACCCATCAGAGTTGTTGAGAAAGATGGATAATCTCATCATATCCCAGCACTCAAATCCATAGAAAATGACTGCCCTGTAGTCTAGTGGGAAGCAGCCATCTGGAGCACACACAAGCAACCTCTTTATCCAGAGAGATTCCAAGGAATCAACTTACTCATCAATTCCTTTGGCAAAGATCTTTGCCATGGGTCTTTGGCTCTGCTTTCACAAAGCCATCTTTCGTTTGCCATACCTGCCCTAAAATCCCACTTCCTGAAGTCACTTTTGCTTTGAAAAACAGCTTTCAGATATTCTGACCTTCACTAAATAGTTACTTTTGATGTTCTGAAGTATTTTAATATGTGCATAAAAAGATTTGCAAAGCTGTTAAAAATTACATGTGACTATGTATTTCTAATATCTGAAAAATATTAGTGTACTCGTACTAATTCTGTGTGTCATTAGTATTATCTTATTTATACATTGTAGTCATTCCCTGGAGTTTTTCAATAGAAATTATGTATTAGTCATGCCTTGATTGACCTTATTAGCCTAAGCTTCCTTGAGGATTGATCTTCAAATCTGAACTGAAAAGGCTTACATTTTAAGAGACATCTGTTTTTTGTTCCACATTTATAGAATTGTGACTCATATATGGTCTTGCTAAATTCTAAATAGTCTAAGGGTAAGTAAAGTACCTTTATGTCCAAATAGCCAAGAACCCCTTAATGTACAATATCATGGCAACTATTACAGAAAAGGTTACAATCCCCTACTTATGAACAGGTTGTGTTCCAAGAGGCTATTACTAAGTTCCTTTTTTATAAGTCTATCGAAGTATTTTAAAAATGTTAAAATTCTTCACCTGATCGATTGCAAATTAACCCCTTAATGCCCTTTAAGCATCAGTGAGCATCTCAGCTTTCTCTCACTGCTCACTTATTTGCTCAGATTTCAGCCACTGGGGCAAGAGCAGGCCAGTCATCCCACAGGCCACTGGGACCCTCACTGGGAAAGAGTTGCCAGCAAGGTAACCAGTACAAACCACAAGTGAAAGGGTGAGGTACACTGTTTAGTCTTGATCATATAAACAATGGTAGGCAGCCCACTCCATTTCATTCTCCACAGGGATAACCAGGAACAAATTTGGTGGGAGCTTTCCAGCAGTGGGAGACTCCCAGCTCCAATGCCCATTTTCATGCCACCCCATTTCCCTACCATT